CTGCACCCACTCATTGCCAAGCAGTTTAACAGCATACTGCAAGGAGGTGAAACTGAAGATTAGTTCACATCTGCCAAACCAACCTGCCAATGAAAGATCCAATGAAAGGGGCAGCAGCAGGCAACTACAGGCCAATTACCTCCTTGCCAACGACTTTCAAATTGCTAACTGGTGTGATACCTAATGCAGTCCAACAGCATCTAATTGAAAACAAGCTCTTTCCATCTGAGCAGAAAGGAAACCATCCAAACAGCAGAGGGGTGAAAGATCAGCTCCTAATTGACAAGATGATTCTGCAAAACTGTAAGTGAAAGAAGACCAACCTTAATGTAGCTTGGATTGATTACAAGAAGGCATTTGACTCCCTGCCACATGACTGGATAATCAAGTGCCTAGGAATAACAGAAGTCAGTAGAAACAGCAGAAGCTTTGTGCAAAGATCAATGGCACAATGGAAGATACAGTTGCTGGTCAATGATGATAAACTGAGAGATGTTAACTTCAAGAGAGGAATCTTTCAAGAAGACTCAGTATCCTGCATTAGATGCCAGTTTGCTTCCAAGTCCAATTCAAGGTGTTGGCTATCACCTTTAAAGCCCTACATGGCATGGAACCAGGCTACCTGAGGGGCCGTCTCCTACACATAATGTCAACCCATCCCAGCTGGTCAGGCAGATAAGGTATGTTATGGACCCCGTCTATGAAATAATGTCGACTAGTAGGGCCCAGGGGGAGCTGTTGCCCCCACCCCATGGAACATTCTCCCCCCAGAGTTGAGGCAAGCCTACACTTTCCTGGCCTTCCGGAAAGGGGGGAAGACCTGGCTCTGCTAACTCGCATGGGATGAGAAGGGATATTACCATCCCTGGGGTGGCTGGTGCCTTGAAGACTCTCCCCGAGTCTAATAACTTCTAGTTAACATCAGTTCCTTGGAAGCTATTTATTTTTATATAGGAATCTTGTTCTATTTTAATATATTTTAATTAATATTCACTCTATTTTAATTAATATTCACTCTA